ATTTAAATGGGTCCGTAGAAGTGCAAATGGGCTAGCTGATGGATTAGCAAAACAAGGGGCATTGAGACAACAATTATTTTGGGCTACATTGTAATGAGGGATAAATAGAGTGAGGAAAAGGGATCAACAGTCCCATCATCAAATTGTATAAAATGTTTACAATCTTAATCTGAATTTTAATAAAACACATATTTACTGATAAAAAAAAGGACTCTAGAAATAGTTTAGGAGAGTTCCTGGATTATCAGATTTGTAATGTGGAGCTTGTTCTTTATTCTGGAAATTGGTCTACATATTCAAGTGATGACTTGTCACCCTCTTTTGTAACTTCTTTTATCTTTAATTAAATTTTTATTTGACTTGTAAAAAAAATAGGTGTGGTGGGAATTTCCTTGAATGCTTGGGGTCAGGCGACTTTTAAAACGATTGGAGATAGGTGTGGAATATTCCTAAGCTTTGATGGAAGGAATGGAAACTGGGAGAAGGTTGATTGTGAGAGAATATTAGCGGGAATGGAAGATCTGAGAGAAATTCCAAGTTCAATGGAGATGCTATTTGTAGGGGAGATTTATGGGCTTCGGCTTCTCATAGAAGGGGAAGACCAAACGTTTTGGAGAATTGGAGAGCGACGAAAACTTATTCCTTTTCTGAGTGCTGGTTGAAGTTCAAGGAAGTTGTGACAAGCACACACAGAGGAGGCATTCTCTTGGGGCGAGGTCTTGGTTGGGAAGGTGAAGGGTCAATCCAAGGTTGAAGACGGTGGAACTGAAAGGGTAAGGGCTAGAAAGGTAATTTCAGAAAAGGGGATGAGATGGTTTTATCTAAAGAAGAGCACATGGTAGTCATGGCGAAGGAGAGGGGAGAAGTCGATGAGTTTGGGGGTGGTTTGGTGGAGAAATGCGTTTGTTCTACTCGAAAGAACTAGAAGGCTAGGTGGGGTGCACTTTTCTGAAGGAGAGTCTAGTGGTTCCAATTTTTTCAATCAAGCAATAAGCTAAAAGCCCTTTTAGTAAAAGTCTGGGCCCTCTGTCTCCTATTAAGTTTAAAAAGTCAAGGAATAAGAGTGGGGGAAGAGGAGGGACACTTATTGCTTGAAAGGGATCAGGTTCAAAGTGGATCTGGGTGATCACCAAATTTGCAAGAGATGGTCAACCGAAAAATGGAGTGAAGGATAAGGACCTTAGTGTGTCTCTTTTTGTTCAGCCTTCCTTTCCTAGTTTGCTGGTAACGAGTTGCAGTTGGCATCCCAGTGGTGCTACAGTGGTGGCTGAACATGGATCTTCATCCAAGGAGGTTGTTGAGACTTCGGGGAAGCCCTACTCTTTTGATACTTTTCAGCTAGGTGAGTTATGTATGGATGGAGGTGTTGAGCCGAGCTCTCAAGGTTTGGACATGGGGGGGAGTGGTTGGTTCTGGGGATGGAGTAGAGAGAGGCGAAAGGGATAGGGTAGAAGGAGATGAGTTGGGAGGGAGTGGTAGAGGGGCAGATAGCAGTCTTCGGTGAAGCTAAGGAGTTTGGGTGCGCCAACTTGGCTCTAGACAAGATTGAGTGAACTGAAAATGGGGAGGATTTGTCAACTGCTGAAGTGTTGGTAGGCAAGCTGGCTGTAGGCCTGGGTTGTAGGAGGGGAGGAGTTGTGAGGTGCAAGTCAGATGCTTCAGTGTTGGCTACGGAGAAGATAAGATCGTCTTGAGGAGGGTATCATTGGGGTAGGCCCAACCAATAAACTTCAAATGGTTTATAATAGAAAGGTCTTGATGCCCAAATTGCAGAAACCTGTCTTTTCCTGTTAGGGACGGTCAGTTTTCGAAGGTGGTGGAAAAGAAGCTGGATCTTCTGGCAAGCCTTTTGAGAAAGGAGTCAATTAAAAGTGAAGGGAGAAAGGGTGCCAGTCAGGAATTTAAGAAGATGGAGGGGGAGATAGTGTCAAAGGGGGAGGAGTCGAATGGAGCTTGGAGGTGGGGGGGGGGCAACAAGTGTGTTTGGTCTGAACTCAGAAGGGGAAAGATCTGACTTTTGAGAAGATCTGGGATGTTTGAGGACATAGGTCAGATTTTGGGGTGATTTTTTGAAATGTACTTGAAATACAGAATTGTAACAGCTCTTAGTATGGAAATTTCTGTTTTTGTGGGTGTGGTTTTGTTGTTGAGGTGCAATGTTGTCACTTCCTTTTTGTAATCTTTTCTTTTAATAAATTTTTATTATTACTCTCGAAAAAATGATGATGATGATATTTTTAATGTTCAATGACTTAATTAGCTGGAAATTGCTAAGTCTATGCATTATTCTTAGCTTTTCTTTTTCCAAATTCTAATATTTCACCAAGAAATTAGAAATGTGTTCCATGTTAAGTTGTCAACATGGAATTTATGTGCATTTCCGTGGTAAGGTTTGTTTGTCTAAGGGATGGGGTTCTATGTTGACACCATGTCTTGCCTACTGCCTTGATAACCTTGACACTTCAAATTTCTCTATTGAGATTCTTGCCTTTTATGGTTACAGGACAAATACCTCCAGAAGGTTCATTTTTCCCAGCATGCCATTCCACTTCCTGATTTTATGCAGGTTAGCTATTACTTGCATATTTCCTGTTTTTACTTTGATTATGGTTATTGTAGTGCTCTGATTGCTTAAAATCTTGCAATGCAGATTGATGATCTTGAAAGTGCAAAGAGGGCAGGGAACTTATTTGGTTATCCTCTTATGATTAAGAGCAAAAGGCTAGCTTATGATGGGCGAGGAAATGCTGTTGCTCAAGGCGAAGAGGAGCTTTCTTCTGCTGTTGCTGGTAATGCCCATAGAACCTAACTAGTTATTAGTTAAATTGTACTGTAGGTGTGCTCTTTAGTGACATTGCCTATGAAGTTTTGAGCATCCTCTTCTGCTTGTGTCTCCTTATATGGTGTGACCTCGAAATTGAATAATTAGGCTTGCATTATTCTAATTATCCATCTCATTTGGCACTATTTAGCACCACTGTGTGTTTGTCCATTGAACTGTTACTTCTTTGGCTCTTTTGTTGAATAATTTTCTGCTAGACTGCTAGAAATTTTGGAAGGAGTATACTATTTAATGTCTTTAATGGAAATTGTGATGTTTGAGAGATGGTTCACGGTTGGAATCTTTTGTTCTCCAGTTCACATATACTTTTTTTTTGCTGCAAAGCAGTAAAATATATACTTGTTTATATTAAAAACATGTGGGTTACACTTTCATATAGGGTTTGTGTTTGGAAGGGTGTTATGTGTGTTCAGAAAGCCTTTCGAGATTTGACAAGAGTTTAAGTTTGAGTAGGCCTCTAGCATATGATTTTGGGAGGATGATTGGAGTGGTCCTGGGAAACTTTGTGATATATGTCCTAGATTGTACAGTTCGGGGGAGAAAAGCATCACTATTTTTTTAATAGAAAAAAGTCGATGCTTTGAGATCATAAAGGACTGTGATTTGGTATCCCTAGTTTAGAAGGTCATTGATCTTTGTGGGAGCGAGAAATAGAAAAGTGCTTGTTGTTGCTGCATTATCTTGAGAAAGAGTCCATCTCTCTGGATAAGGATGATTCAAGATGGTTGAAGGAGTGCATAAATGGACAATTTACTGTGAAATCTTTTTATAATGCCTTGATTCATAATCAGGTGGACAGGTTTTGGTTAAAAGGTGTTTGGGTAATCCTATTCCTCCTGGAGTTGAAACTTTCACTTGGCTGGTGTCTTTGGAGTGTGCTGACTTTGGATCATTTCCCAAGTATTTGTTGCAGCGCAAGTAAACTGCATCTCACTTGTTTTGTTCTTCTGACTTTCCTATATTCATTTTGGGAATTTTTCTCTTGTTTATTTAGAAGAAGGGGTTGGCAAGTCAATGATCTTATTGATCCTAAAGATGTGTTTGCGTCTTGGCTGGTTGGACCAGAATTTATGGAAGTATGAAGGCTAAATTTTTCTGGAGACTGGTTCATTTGAGATAAAACAGTTAGCAAAAAGGTCAAGAATATTATGGATTGGTCCAAGGAAGGACTTGCATAACAAACTTTTACTTATGAGGGCCAAGGAAACTGGGCCATTTGATGGGTGTATGTACCATTATTTTAACAAAATCAATAAATTTACAGTTATTCATTTAAAAAAATTCTGGTGACATTCCTTGCTGTGGTTTGGGGTATTTGGAAGCAGTGAAATAGGAGGATCTTTGAGTTGAAGGAGTGCAGAAAGATAGTGAAAAATTATATACTACAATTGGAAATGTGATATTGGACTGAGTTCTTGCACATCCATAATTTAAAGACTCAGTTGGAATCTTTTGGGCCACGTTAGAGATTCGGCAAGAAGATTTGTTGCACTGTATAGATCAGATTTATTTGCCTTATTTTTTTGTTGGGTGCCATCTCATCACTCTTCATATATCTTGTACTCTCTTTTTCTTTCTTTTAATTAATTTATTGGCAAATGAAAAAAAAAACATTAGTTTAAAAATCTGGAAAATTGAAAAGCTTTCACGATTCTTGACATGTGAAAGGTTTAGAGTCTTTTATGACATTTAGTAGTGGATTTGCCTAGATTTTTTTTCTTGTATACTCTATTTTGAAATATAGTAAAATTATTTTGGATTTCTCCTCATGATTTTTTTAGGGATTTTTTGACTGCACTCCACCTCAGAATTCTGATTTGAACTGCAGACCTACAACAATTCAAAATTATAAACAGCTCCACCTATAACACCCATACCCGCCTGTGAATTGGTATCAATTCCAAGCTGGCACCTACCCCCAACTGTACCGTGGAGCTAGGATTACTGAGGTGGACTGAACAGTAAAACCCCCTTTTTTTATTCTTTCACACACAGCAGTGCAGCACTTAACTTTTGCACCCAAGTTTAACTGCATATTTTAGTAAATGTGTTTTCTTTATTGTATATGAAATTTTGTTACTGGGTGGCTTCCTTGTTTTGTCTTCAAAGTGGGAGCAGAGCAGTTAGTGCCCAGTGGATCTCCACTTTATCCATCCATGGGTAATGAATTTGCTGATACGTTTTTTTAGTTTGGGGGGGGGAGATCCTCTTGATTCTCTTCCTCTTTATAGACAACAGTTTACTAATAAGATCATTTAGTGAGCTTCCAGAAGATTCATGAATATTCAATGTAGCAACATCTTTTTCCCTCCACATGTTCTTCTGTCCTGCCTCTACTCAATAGGTAGATTTCAGCCAAAGTCTGCCATACATCTAAGTTTACAGAATAAGATGTTCTTCATGGATATTTATTCTTAGGGTAAATTACTGATAATATCTCCCCTGGTTTTTGGTCAAATACTAAGATCTCCCCTCAGATTCATCTATTAAGATAGTGTTTGGTACCTTGGTGGGTTGAATTCTCAACATTTGTACCTGATTTATAACAATTAGAAATCGAGGAAGTAAGATGTTCTGGACATAACTCAATGCACAATTGTTTATTGTAATTTCAAACACAGAAACACCACTTAAGACACCTGAAGTAGAGATGCCCTCCAAGTTCCAACATCCCCATGCACATATCCCAATGTGGATGGTAGTACAAATGTTTGAACTTGAACGTACCTAACCAAACATGATTTCAGTATGGTAAAGTCAAAACACTTGCATGGCACTTGCATGGAAGTCTAAATAGGAATGCAACGCCATGGTCCCAAAAATACCCTAACTTACTAACCCCTTGTAGTTTGGGTTAAGTTATTCCACCCCTCCACTAAAAGGCTGCCAGTTTTAATGATGAAAAGTGTTCACAGGACATTCAAAATTTCTTAAAAGTCCATCATACCATTATCTGGCACCTTCCTGTGCATAGCCCTCATTCATGCTTGTTGAAGGGACATTTTTTCTGACATAATGCTAAGGTGAGATTGCAAATTTTTAAAAAGGTTAAATTTGAGATGATAATAAAACTGTATATTTTAGAGGTAAGGCTAATATTTTATTTTACTTTATTTTTGATAATTGAATTATAATTCATTAATCATAGAATATAAGCTGTTACAAGCATCCTTTGGAGAGGTGCAAGGTGCAGCCTCGCCTAGACATTACAGTGAAGCAAGAAAAAACCAGAAAAAAGTTACAGACTTGTGCCCAGAAAAATAAAATATTAGTGAGGAATTTGCTAGGCGGGCTTTTAAAGAATTTGAAAGAAAAAAAGAGGAAGAGAAATTGAAGATCAAAGTGCAGTTGAAAGGGAGCAAGGTCTGGGATGAGGAATTCACAAATCAAGAGGATGAGTTTACAGATGAAGACTGATGATGGCATCTAGGTAGGTTCTGCTTTTGTTTAGAGTTGGGCGGTGGTTTCTACTTTAATGGGGTCTTGTATAGGGTTTCTTTTTTATGGACTCTGTTTGGGTTTTGTTTTGCTTGTGAGGTGCAGTTTTCTTAGGCCTGTTTGGATTTCCCATGGATCCTTAATGATCTAGGTGATGTCTTATGACCTTCTACTGTAATCTTTTTTCTCTTTAATAAAATTTCTTTTGATTCTTCAAAAAAAATTATTGAGAATATTTTAGTAAAGTAGCCATTCCCATCTTGATTCTGCCTTCTGTTAACAAACTCCATGCAGTTGCATGGTCAAAGGGGGTATGAGCTACTAGGTAAACCTGAAGGGAGGTCTTGGTATTTGATCGAAACCCCGGGGTGGTTGAAGTAATTTACCCATATCTTTATTTATATAATACTGATACTTGTCTTGGCTTCATGTGCAGACTACCATGTGAAAAATCTAATTCATTTACTTTCCTTTCTCCCCACTCTTTCTCCATTTACTTTCCTCTCTTTGCTCTCTATCTATTAATCTATCCTTCCCCTGCCATTAAACTAGTTCTTAAAATACAAGTTTGACAGATTTGATAGCTAATATAATTTTGGCAAAACTTCAATAAAGTGTGTGTTATAGACTGATGTGGCCTGTGGGAGTGAACATTATTATTTGAGAAAGAAAAGCTTCTAACTTTTTGTTTTTTTTTTTTAAAGAAAAGCTTCAACTTTATAGTCATGTTTTGTGCCATCAAACATTTTAAAATTCCTACTGGAAAATGCCTATTTATGAAAATTGACTAGTATCGATTTTGCTCCAATCTAATCTGGATTCAGTTTGATTAATTTGGGTTTGGATGGATGCCCAATAAGCTAATCAAAGTGGATTCAATTCAAATCAAAAGCTATTACTACTTTTGGATTGGTTTTGATTAATGCAATAACAATCCAATGGTATGCTTTATTCTTGTAATTTGATACGAGGGAATTTATCCTATTGAGAAAAAGAGATAGAGAGTGAGAAAAAGAGTTTATGAGAAATCAAGGGAGAGAGTTTAAGAAAAAAATATGAGAGAATTTATCCTACTGAGAAAAAGAGACTCATAGAGAGTGAAAAAGAGTTTATGAGAAACCAAGGAGAAGGGAGATTATACTTGATATGAAGACAAGAAATTGCAACTCCCGAGGTGATAGGTAGTTCACACCCAATTTTAGTCCTAAAACTGGCCTCCAATTGAAGATGGCGTAGTGTATAGAGAACCGATTCAGCAACACTTGATTTCAGCAAATTTGCTATCCAACTTGCTTGGATTAAGTAGGGTAATTAAACAATGCTATTCGTCTATGTTTTTCTTGCAAAAACAAAGAAAACTGATTTAAATCAGTTCTTGAAAGCCTAGGTTGGTCGTTCTAGGGTTTCTTGGGAGACAAAAGAGAAGAGAGAAAAAGAAAGAGAGGTAGTCTAGTCTTGTTCGCCCTCTTCTCCTTTTATCTCTTAATGGAGCACTCCTCTAATCTAATTAGGAGATTATCTAGATCTAAATTGGAGCTGGACTCTTTTAACAATTAAACATTATCCTCTTGAGAGGATAAGTGCTCCATACCCAATATCAATCACAGATTTGACCCAAATCACATGATGATTTAATTAATCTTATTAATATTGGGCCTTTGGCCCATTTTCTTCAAAGGCTCACGACCCTAGGTGTTGCATGGCCACTTTAGGCCTGATATTGTACGGTGTGGAACCCCACAAAGGTTTCACTTAGGTCCATAAGGGTCTGGCCCTACCTCTGAAAGAGGCTAGACCGAATTCACTATTTAGAGCAATGAACCCCTGAGCCAATCAGCATGGGCTCAGTCTGGGCTCAACATTTTTAGCTTGATCCTTGGATTCAACCCCCCTATGAAGACCCAAGGATAATGGACTTAAGTGAGATAAAGCCCATAAGGTATTCAACCCTGTAATGGTCTCTTACACTTAACCTCTTGGCCCATAATGATCAAAACACTGCCTGATAGGGAAGGACCTCTCCCTTGGTTGCAAGGTGTAGTGCCACACTCTCTGCTTAGATGGATCCCGGGATTAAAACATTTTTCATAAAATAGCAGTATATATAATGTATAAATACATTTTGCAAAATCAGATTTCAAATACAGTTGAAATCCACTATCGATATTTTAGGTTTCCATCAGAGAGAGTTTAAACCTTGATATTCACTTGGTTCGACAAAGGAGCCGATCCTATTACTATGACCACCCACTTAGGTGATTTTCCAAATTGCCCCAACATGCCTAGGTATTTGACCCTTGATGGATCTCATTGACACCTAGTATAGTACCATAATCAATTCTAGGGTTATGTGTAACTTTCTAGTTTTGCCCATCTATCTCCAAGGTCCAGGGCATAATTGGAAACCGGTCTGGGTTCAGTGTTTCTTCCAAACACACACTATATGTGCTTGGGGTCTAACCGTAGCATTTGAGAAAAGCTGCTCCAACTGTTTCGCAGCACAACAATGTTAGCCTTATTAGGATAAACTCCCAAGTCTATCCAATGGTTGAAACATTCTAAACTAACATGAGTCTCATAAGTGTCCAATTTAAGTGGTAATACATAGAAAACATACCAATATCAACATGAAACAATGATGTACTTTATTCATTTACAAGTAAATGTTTATGTACATCAGTCTAATTGGAGCTAAGGGCATAGACTGTCTAACAGGGTACCCAACTTGAAGAATTTACACCCACACGTATTGAAGTTTTGGCAAATGCTCAACCCAAGCCCGCCCGAGTTGCTGCCCTAGAATAAAGTCCTTTGTTCTATATGATTGGTTAATAGAAACAGGATTGTTAACAACTTGGTGGTTTGGTGCTGCCTTCCTTGATCTAACTTGAAGTAATAGAGACATGGCTGCAAATGGATTGGATCAAATCAAATATAAGGTAGATCCACATTTGATTCGTTTATATTTGGATTTGGATTCAATCTTATCCATCGGAATTGGATATTGGCTAGCATTAATAATTAAATTAGAAACATGAACCAAAGACTCTTTAGTGAAATCACAACATTCAAATTCTCTAACCAACTTAACAAGTAGATAGAATATAAATTTTAAGTATATATTAATATTCATTTAAATCGAATTGAATGGGATTATATATATATAATATTTGCTTTTTATCAAATAGGTTATATTGGATTAGATAGGGGTGAATCCATGTTTGATCCAATTATAAGTGGATCTAACTTGGATCACTCTTATCGGGATCAAATTTGAATCCAAATTTGGATAAATAGATACCATTTCCAGCCCTAACCATAAAGACATCAATTGTATATTGCTAAACATCAATTGTTATCTAGTTACCACTTTATGTTTGAAAGAAGCTTCATACACTCTGATAATCTAAATTCTCTTTTAATTGCAGCTCTTGGAGGTTATGGTCGAGGCTTGTATGTTGAGAAGTGGGCACCATTTGTTAAGGTTAGTATCCAGTGGTTAGCATGCAGTTTCATATGTATCTATTGTATTAATTATTACATGTACGACTTAAGCACCAGAATGAGTCTATTTTTATTATGGAGCTCTGGATTGTTCTATTCTGTTGTCTAGATTGCACAACAAATTGCTTGATGGTTTGTATGTTGCAACTGTAAATAATGCCTTATGCATTGCAACAGCTTTGCTGTTTTGGGTGATCAGAAGAAGAGATGTTTTTCTTGTTCTGGATGAATTTGTTGTTTGCTCTTGATCCAGGCCCCGTCATATAGGTTTTTTTATTGTACGTGGGCTATATTTGTAAACCTTTATCTCACTCAGAAACTACTTATTAACCAAAAAAGAAAACTCAGTTCTCTCTAGAATTGTTAGTCTGCCTTTATGAAGGCAGGGGGGGGGGTTATGACTGATATAGAACTCAGTCGAATTCTGTTATCAGATATGTGGCACTCTAGTGATTAACCAGAACTAGGTGTAGGTGGACAAATTAGCTCTCTTAATCTGTGACAGAGGAGTGCTTAGTTGCCTAGGTGCCCACCTAGTCATCTCCTAAGCGATGGATTTTTGGGGGTGGGTGGGTTGGGGAGGGATGTTAGAGGATCAAAAAAATACCTCATGGCTCACATTCAAGTGCTATCTCAATTCTTTTTTTTTTTCTTTATTTTCTGATAAAATAATGAAATGTACAATTAGATATACCCTCTTTGTTAAGCTAGCCTCCATAGTATCTAACACCATCCTTCACTTGTGCATACAGCTTTTACAGGCAGTTTCATTGGTTATCCCCCTATACAGTTGTTCCCTATTGACCCCTTGTTTTGCAAGTGACTCAGCCAAATAGTTTGCTGATCTAGGTACCCAAATAACAGAAACAATCAGTTCTGTTGCTAATTGTTTGATTTCCTGCAATGTATGGTGCTCTCTCAATTATTAATACTCTGTGAGGTACTGTTGATTTGACATAACGTTCCTGCTTAAATAGAATACTATCATGTTCAGCATTGTTATTAAGAAGAAAACAAGACCCAGGGGGGGGGGTCCTGAGCCTCTTCTCTTTTCCCAGAAAAATCCTCTGTTGTAAAAGTAAAGCAAGAAGACAGGAAATTGACTACTTTTGGTAATTTTTTTTCCTCAAACGAGCATGAAACTTTCCTGGGTTATTGTGACTGACGTAATCCTTGTCTCTTAATTGATTTAGGAGCTGGCTGTCATTGTGGCAAGAGGAAGAGATAATTCCATTTCCTGCTATCCAGTCGTTGAAACTATTCATAGGTAAGGCATTAGATTCAGCTTTCATAGTTTAGAAGTATTGTTTATGTTTTCAACTTAGCTAGAAATCTTGGTTAAATTTAATGTTATAATATGCTTGTTAGTGTGAGATTTTGTTTGTTTCAGTTTTAAGAATTGGAGAAGATTTGGGTGCTATTGCAACTATATGTGGTTGTTTTGTGCTTTTGCAGGGATAACATTTGCCACATAGTTAAGGCCCCTGCTGATGTGCCATGGAAGATCAGGAACCTTGCTACTGAAGTAGCACAAGAAGCTGTTAGTTCATTGGAAGGTGCTGGTGTATTTGCAGTTGAGTTGTTCTTGACAAGTGACAGTCAGGTTGTCTTCTACTTACAAAACCCTTACTGCATGCCTTGGTTAGCCATTTATAGATGTTTATGTGGCTCTTAAGGAAATCTCCTTTGTACCATATTCTATTGAAAGCAATCATATTGACATTTATTCACTTCTCTACAGATTTTGCTAAATGAAGTAGCTCCAAGACCTCACAATAGTGGGCATCACACAATTGAATCATGTTTCACTTCACAATTTGAGCAGCATTTGCGTGCTGTTGTTGGTCTTCCACTCGGTGATCCATCAATGAAAATGCCAGCTGCAATTATGTACAACCTATTGGGTGAAGAGGAGGTGAATATTTTTTATGAACTTCAGATTTTGTTTCAGAAATATGATTCTGGCATTGAACT